TGGACTATAAATTGGAACTTGAAACGCTTGGGCCTTAGGTTCGTAAGCCACTAGTAAGTTTGTAAGGCAAAAATAACCCTTACGAAAGTCGTTTTAAGAGGGGCTGAGTAATCCAAATATCGTTACATGGTTATCAAGGGCATCCCTCGCAAGTGTTTCCAAAAATTTGTTGGACCTGACGATACTGTAGCATCAACCGATTAAGACAAAGCCTGCTTACTTGCGGAACAGTATGCAAGGTCATTTGTTCACGAATCTCCGTTGCCGAATATCGACTTAGAGGCAAAGATCCCAGTGGATTCGTTACTGACGGATCTTTCTATTTCAGAAGCTCTTGAGTGATCTGAATCCCACTAAAACTGTCGGGATAGATGCCATCCATCCCAAGCTTTTGTACGAGCTGGCTGAGTAGCTGTGTAAACCGAGTACATATCTTTGAGAAGTCTCTCCGTAGCTGCTCCCTACCTACCGACTGCAGAGATGCAATCGTGTGCCCTGTTTTCAAAATGGGGAATAAGCACCTACCTGAAGATTGCAGACCGGTTAGCACAACAAATGTACTATGTAAACTATTAGAGGCTGGTAGGAGATGCTCTCGAAAAGCACTTGGTTAAGTTCAGCTTGCTCAGCCCGTCTCAACATGGTTTCGCAGATGTCATACTTGTTTGCCTAACATGTTGGTGGCTCGAGAGTGCTGGGCTGAGGCTGCGGATCAAGAACAGGCGGTGGACGTTTTGCTCATTGACCTTTCTCAAGCCTTTGACACCGTCTCGCCTTTTGTTTAAACTGAAACCATAAGGTATTTCAAGTCATGTATTGAAATGAATTTCGGCTTTGCTGGAAGGTAGGCAGATGAGTGTTCGAGTGGGCACCGGGCTGTCTTCCAGACAAGCCGTCCGGGTTGTGTTCCTAAGTGGTCGGGTCTCCGACCTCTACTATTTGCATTTTACGTTAATGACCTCCCTTATATTTGCGAATGACAAAATTTTGGAATCTAGTGAGCGATTCCGATGGTCCCGGGGCTTTGCCGATAGCTCTTGACACGTTTTAGATGTGGTCAGATTTGTGGCAGCTGTCGATAAATCTTACCAAGTGTTCGGTACTACGCAAAGGAGCAAGCGCTCCTATAACTCATTACGTACTTGGCACAACAAATCGACTTGGGTATTTCGCTAGCCTCTGACTTCAAATCCAGCGAGACCCGGAAGACCGATACTCGCAAGAGTTCCCGAATGTTGTGGATGATCCGCATGTCGTTGGGCGTCATAACAAATGAAATGTTTTCGTCTCGAGAGGTTTGGCAAACGACCGGTTACTGTATTTGTTGTGCTGTACAACGTTTGGTTTTGGATTCAAAAGTTTCATTAGGCGAAGTCGAAAGCGAAAAGTTTTACAGCATAACAAATATACTAACCGGTGGTTTGCCAAACCTTTCGAAATGATGACTTTTCGATCGGTACCAAATATGTTACAAAATGAAATGTTTGTTACATTGCTATCAGCTTTTGTCAGGCCATACTTGTAGTACTTCGTGCAGCCCTGTCCTCCATGCTTGGTCCGCGACAACATGGTAATCGGACGAGTTCTGAGGATTGTCATGAAAATGGTGCAAGGATTGAGGCACCTCTCGTATCCTGATAGGCTACTCAGGTTGCACATGTTCTCGCTGCAGTATAGGCGCCTTCGGGGAGACCTAATCTTTATGTACCGTATATTGACGGGCAAGATCGGGCCCGATCCAACTCGACTGCTCCATCCGGTTCAGATGGCAGTTCTTCTTGGTCACCCTCTGAAGCTGTATAAAGTATTATGTATGCATGTAATCTCGAAAGTCTAACAACTAGACATAGAGCCAACAAAGCCATGGAGATTGGCGGATAAGGGAAAGTCACTGCGTCATAATTATCGTGGCATATTAGTTGAAGGTGAGCAACACACATCAGCTACTATGCCATAGGAAGAAAGGAACACTGAAAAAAATAGAACAAAACATTTTTAGTTTGTTTTTCACACGCCGATTTTTCTTTTTTTGTCATTTTCAATGTTTGAAGTATAAAACATGTGAATCAATACAATTCTGTAGACAAGTCTACCGATTTCGGTTGCGGGCCGTTTTTAAGAGTGTTAAGCCATTGGCACTCCTCATCTTTGGGTCCCCATCCTGGAAGACGTACGGATCCAACAGCGGCTAAACACGACGTCAACGATTTCATGTGCTGCCGCCAAGTTGAAGGCTGATCACCACGTGGTCGCCTCCAGCCAGGTCCTTGACGAGCGATTAGAGCGCGACGCGGTAGGCGCTCAGATAACATGCGTAAGACGTGGCCGAGCCATCACAACTGATGCAGCGAAACCAGTTTGTTGAAGGGAATACTCACATTCCCCGAGACGCGACGTCGAACGTCATTGCTGTTAACTCGACGGTGAAACCAAACACGAGCAATCCTCCTTAAGCAAGCGTTATCGAACGCAGAAATACGACGCACGTCTTCACGCGAAGCGGCCAGGACTCGCTCCCATACAATAATATTGAGCGAACTGATGCGCCGTAAATGGGGACTTTTAGCGAGAATGTGACGTCGCGACGACGCCACAAGTGCCTCAGATTGGCAAATGCTGATCGGGTTTTAGAGATGGGAAGAGAAACTCCTTTGCTGTTAGTGCCGTCAGCACAAACACAGCTCCCAAGGTAGACGAAACTGTCTACCTGTAAAATTTGTGCACCTTCGAGAGTGAGCACGGGAGCAGTATTTTACACTTCAATGGGGCGAAGCTTATGCCATACTTGGATGTTTCAACCGCCAAACGATCCAGAATGAGTTGCATACCCTGAGGATCGTCACCAAGCAAGGCAATATCACCAGCATAATCTAAGGCGGTCGCGCACTCACCCGGTAGAAGCTCTAGTCCAAAATGTTGGAAACCTTCTCGAGCACTCGACAGAACATCTTCGATTGCCAAGTTGAAGGGGAATGGGGAAATAGGGCAGGCCAATCGCACACCGTTATGGACAGCGAATTGCGAGGAAAGCTTGCCATAGACCCTCAAACTGCCGGATGTATGAAGGTAAAGTGCTCGTAAGATGGCGGTATATTTCTCTGGCACCCCGTTCTTTAGCAAGCAACGCCGTAAAGAAGGACGATTAACGGAGTTAAAAGCGGCCCGTATGTCTAGGAATGAAACGATAGCGGGCCTGTGATAAATTTGGCGATGTTAGAGGAGTTGGTGGAGCGTGAAGCCTTGATCAACGCATCTGCGGCCAAGACGGAAAACAGCCTGTTTTGCACGGTAGGACGATTAACGTATTCGGGTTAGTCTACTATGCAAAATGAACACCAATAGTTTGAAGACAACCGAAATAAGACCAATCCCGCGATGATGTACACATAAAAATCGGGACAATAACTAGTCGGCCACAAGAGGAAGGCACTTTCTCTTCATGCCAGATTTTTGCGAATAGCGCGGTCAACTGGTTAATGATCACCAAACCGCCGTACTTGAACAGCTCCGGAGGAAGTCCGTCTGAGCCGGCAGCCTTGAACCGCTTCAAGCGACGAATCTCGAGGCAGAGTTCCGCTTCGCTGGGTGGATTCAGTGGGACGAGCCAGGGTGGTCAACAAGGTGTACTGTATGTATTGATGGACGGTGGAGGCCAGTTGAATTGCGAGTGAAAGTGCGCGGCCCAGCGGTCCATACGCCTCTGTTGGTTGGTGATGGGGGACTCATCCGCCTCGCAGATAGCCTCACTGACAGCAAGATTCTTGAGGCCAGTGGACCGAATGTGTTGGAAGAGCTTGCGTTGCCAGAGGGCAGCGATCTCCATCTCTGAAGCACGCTCAGACCACCATGTCTCGCGATCATTGCATAAGCCTTCCTTGAGTAGCTGGTTGGCAGAACGGCGTCGCTCGTTGCAATTTGATTCCGCCGGGATATCTTTGCGAAATTCGAACAGCTCCAGAGAACGAGCAGAGATCCAAGCCTTCAAGAGGCGTCAACCTAGGCCGCAGCTTAACTGTCCGGAAGTGGCCATCGCATTCTCTATACAAGTCCAGTGTTACTCTATGTCTTGCGGTAGATTGCAACTGAGTGCGTATGTCAGTAAAGACTGATAACTCGTCTGTTTACACCAATCTTACGGTGCTTCGTGTTTTGGGACCCCCAAAATAAAATAAATACATAATGTGTCAGATATACGCCATAACGGCGCTTCGCTGCCGCGCGTCCACCACTAGTCACGTGTGGATTGAGTATACCGCGAGGACGCCTGCCCCTACGCAGATTAGAACCGGTGATCAAATGATTGCAGACCACTGGGCCACCGGCCGACACATGGAATGCACTACCCAACGAAGCCCTATTAGCACCAACGGTGAGGGAGTTTGAACATCAACTCGACGTCCTTGGGTCGAAGGTCCAGACCTTCCCGTTTGGCACTTAACTTCCACATCCATCTCCTTGACTTCTCACTCCTTATTAGTATTATTACTTTATCTAAACAACATCAGTTGTGCTACGATTATAAGTATTCCATTTTTGTTGATTCCCTTTCCTTGGCCTTTATTCTTATTCAAGTGGCCCGTACAGCGCGGACTGCTAATGGGGACTGCGTGGGCATCGATTGGTTGACCATCATTTGTTTGGTGCGTATAGATTTGGCTCTCTTCGGTTTCAAATCGATCCCGCGAACTCTATCCTGGTTCAATGACGCATCAAAGAAGGAACGCCCATGGGAATTTCTTACCGTTCCTGCCCAAATTGAACTTAAACACGCTAGTCAGACTGGCGGGGCTATAGTTCTCAGGGAGTTGCTTATCACCATCTGTAAAAACGGTATACAACAGAATTTTTACAGCCGTCACGTAGAGAACCCCTGCGCAGACTTCAAAAAGTCGCGTAAATGGACAGCAAATCGCATGTGCCTACTCATACAATTTTACGACCAATGACAAATATATACATATGTCTAAAGCAAAGTATCAGTGCATTTGGAAGAAACCGACCTTTCCAGTCTCTCTAATAAACTCTTCATATCCAGATGCGGTGCCGTTTTAATAATTGACTCTACCAATGCACTGAGTTCGCTTTGCGCGACAAACATGTGTTAGGAGGGGGAACCGCGTGTAGTATGCGTCCGGTCGTGGATTCCGAGGGCTTCCGTGTCCAGTGTGTACGTAGGTCGTAATAGACCTGGGGAGCTGCAATGGAAAGCAAATACCTCGTAGGTGGCTGGATGCTCATATCACAACCACCTAGTAAGATACCGAAAGTGAACTAGCAACCTAAACGTGAAGGTAAAGAGAAGAGGAAAAATAAGTGGCTGTCTGCGTATGGAACGAAAACGAACGAACGTATGGAACGAACGACGGGGTTATGTGGTCGGGTAATGCAGCTGTTTTTGAAGCCATTAAGGGATGAATAATAACTAACAGAAGATAAATGCTTGTATCTAAACTTAAATACGTATTTAAAATACTTCAGAAAACTGGTAACTCGGGTTGATAATTCAGTTGCTCATTTGTTCGCCGAGATGGTAGAGTGCAAACACACTGCATTACCGCGGAGTCAAAGTAACAAGAAGAGAAGCATCTATTTAAACATTTCCAACTCAACGGATATCCGCGAAGCTTCATCCGAAGGTGTCTGAACCACAAAAACCAAACAGACAGTCTACACCAACGACGGAGAGACGCGTTGTTTTACCTTATATGAAGAACATATCCGAAATGGCAGCAAGACTATTCAAACAACATCACCACATCATAACACACAAACCAACTGCCACATTGAGGAAAACTCTGTCGAAACTGAGAGAGAAACTGGAAGCTCATGAGCAAACTAATGTTGTATATAGACTAAGTTGTAGAAACTGCGAAAAGGACTATGTTGGCCAAACAGGTAGAAAATTATTAACACGATTACAAGAGCAAAAAAGAGCATGCAAAAGGCAATATGCATGATCGCTAGTCTCAGCAAACGTGGATGAAAAAGAACACAGTTTTGACTGGGCCAAAACAGAAGTCCTGGCACGAGGCGAAACAAGAAAAGAAAGGGAGTTCCTGGAAGCGTGTTTCTCAACAAAAGACTCGATCAACATGCATATCGAGATTGACCCAGTTTACCAACCCCTCCGACGGAGAGAACTTAGAGAAATTATGAGACGCCGCTTGAACAGGAACAACCCGAGCGACGACTTCCGCCACGCGGAAATGGGTAGAGATCAGGGGACACATATCGTAGCCGTAACTTTCGAAAAGTCACCTGCACGCCGATCACGGATCGGCAATTCAATCAGCGAGATTACACTCCACATCTCGACGCACTGATGACGCCGCCTCGCATGACGGTGAAACGTTTGCAAACAAATTTTCCAACTCGGTGAACAAACGAGCGATTGAATATGTATTTTTTAGATCCAAATTGGACTAGGACGATAGAAAATCCCTTGAGTGTTTTTTCTTGTGCGGACCGTGGAGTCAGGAAGAGAGAAGGTGCTACGTGGTCTCTGTGGATCTAAAACTAAACACCCGAACCACACCTTGGTCAACCAATTACGTTCCCTGTAGCAGCAGTCCCAGCTGTGCAAGTCAAGTGAAGTACGGAAGAGGTAGAAAGAAAATGGGAAGTCATGATTTCAGAGGCTATTGAATACAAATCGGTTTTTGTAGGTTTTTATTACGGCAACATTTCCCTCTTAACGTAAGTGCCACTTCAGACCAAGAAAGTCAATTAAAGGAAGGATAATACTAAAGGGTGAGGAGAAACAATATGAACTCAAAGATGAAAGATGGATACAGTCAGGAGAAGGGAAAGGTTTCGTGTTTCTACCCAAGAGCCTCTAACTGACAGTCGGAATCCTTAACATAGGTTCATTGACTAGACATTCTGGAAGCGAGTTTCAGTGCTCGATAACTACGCGATAACCGCGTTTCCGCCTTGGCCCGATAGGAACATGGATTGTGTAATTTCATGGGATGACCGCGAAGACAAGGCAACCTAGCCGGGATAAATAGGCAGCTCAGGCCCAGTCCAATCTTCCCTGTTTAGACGCGGCAAGTAAGGATTAGGTATCCTCGAAGCCATCGGCAGTGCACTGAATACATACACGAGGCAAGTAGACGCTCGGAGTACGTTTGCCCCCGTAACCCCTCGACCAACATGGTACCTAGTTTCAAATTTCTCTTGAGGTGCATTTTGTCCCGAACCAAGCAAGGCTGACAAGTCTGAAAGCAATAAATTTTTCAAATTCATATGGGGTAGGAATTAAAGCAAATTCCCATGGTCGCCGTCGTTGATCCAGGTTTCAGTTAGGTGAATGACTGACCAGTTGTATGAGCTAAATCAGCACGTGCAGAACACATCGTGGTCAACCAATTAAGACCCATGCGCCCTGCGTTAGCACCCCGGTGCCCCGGCCACGTGCAATAAGAAAAGGAAGAGTAAAATTGTAGTCTAGACATAAAGTAAGATAGAAAATTTGAAGAGGAATTTAGTATGAGTAACTAAGAAGGAAAGGAATTGAAGAGCAATCGAAAGAGAAATTAAGGCAAGAAAAGATTCGGAGCTGCAAGTTGAGGTCGTCAAGGTAACGTGGGTGACAATACGATGTTCTCGGGTAGCGTATTGCAGGAATTTATCAGTCTACGCCACAAACGAGTGTCAGCCCGAACCCGATCAGATCGGTCAACAGGCTGCATTCGCACGCACCTTAGACACACTGGATATTGATGTGTTGTGTGTCCAATTGAGGTTATTGAATGAATTGCACCCGGCTTGTCCTCTCGTTATTGGTTGCACACATCCGGAGACGCCGATGCAGTACTCAAGATGATGTAGGTGTCATTCTAAGCTTCTAAGCTGAGCCATCGTTGGCTGATTGGATTCCGGTGAACAACCGTTTATGTACAGCCCGTTTGACGACATCAGCTAAGGTTGATTCACGAAGAAGTCCAAGGTGATATTTGTTTGTGATTTCAGCTTATGCTCCAACCGACTGCAGTTCAAATGTTGTCAAGGATATATTCTATCACGAACTGAACGCGCTACTATGCAGTGTTACTAGTTCAAATATTATAGTAATTGCAGGGGGCATGAACGCACAAGTAGAGCGTATGAGCACTGCAGAAGCTCAGCTAGGCGGTAATTATGGACTTAACTCTGAACGGACTGACAACGGCGAGTGCCTGCTGCAACTGTGTGCGGAGCACCAGTTGTTTGTTGGTAGCACTGCTTTCAGACGCAGTGGGTGCCGAAGTGCCGCTTGGCATCCTCCTGTAGCTGGCCAGCTATGGACCAAAAATTGACAACATTGTCATAAGTTACAGATGGCGTGGTTCCATCCTGGATTGTCGCTTGTACTGGAATACATACGACGACGCTGATCATGCTTCAGTACGCTGTGGTTTCTCCATGAACTTTACCAGGAGGCGCACCAACCGCTTAATCCAATTGGCAACTGAGAAATTGTCTCAGCCCACGGTCAGATAAGCCTAACAAGATGCATTGCGTACGGAAATTTCGCTGTCGTCCTACTGACACTGATCTTCAGTGAAATAGGATGTCAACCACCATGTACGACGCAGGAGCATCTGCTTGTGGCACTATCCATCGTCACCGCACCAGTCACTGAATATCGGAGAGATCGGTGAACCTGTTGAAATGCAGAAGAAAACTCCTGGTTGGCTCTGAGCACTATGTGACCAGACGGGGTAATAGGCGCGAATTAAAGCGGAGCCTAAGTGCTGACAAGGAAGCCTGGTGGACCAGTCGGGTTCAAGAAATAGAGAAGGCAGGAGCAGTAGGCAATTACCGCAAGCTCTCCCAGCTAATCCGCAACAGTGGGCCCAGGAAACCAGGCGTCAGTGAGACAATCAGAGACAGCGTGGGTGCACTGATACACAACAAGGAGCGCCGTATAGTTCGTTGAGCGGCACACTTTCAAGATCAGTTCAGCTGGCCCGCTGCTCCCGGACCTCTTCCAACTCAGGTGATACAGGACGAGTAATGGACGGTTAGTTTAGAGCCGCCGTCGGAGGCCGAGGTCCGAAACGAGATCACATCCCTCAATCGTTTTCATGCCGCTGGCCCGGATTCCTTCCCACCTGCACTATTTAAGGATGGAGGTGAGGTGGTCCCCTGCAAAGCACTGACCTCCCTATTTGAACGTATCTGGGAAGTAGTGTCCGAGCTAACTGGAGCGAATCGATCATAGTGGCAATATCCAAGAAGGGCAGTCGTATTGACTGTTCTAACCAGTGGTATTAGCCTAGCGCCAATTGTGACAAAATTACTGGCCCCGATTCTCGTTCATAGCCTCAAGGTGTGGCGGGAATCTCGGAGTAGGGAAGTGCAGGCAGGTTTCCGCCCAGGAGGTGGCTGTATAGACCATATATTCACTCTGCGACAGGTGCTAGAGCAGCGCCACACATACCGCAGACCGACAATAGCTGTGTTCCTCGATTTCAAGAGCGTGTTCGATTCAGTCGAGCGATCCATTCTGTTCGAAATATTTGCGCGGAAAGGTGTTCCCACGAAATATGTGAACATGTTACGTGCTCTATACTCGAGCACTACAGGCCGTGTCAAAGTCTACGGTGACCAGTCGGACAGTTTTCCGACAACAAGTGGCGTTCGATAGGGCGGTCCGATTTCCCCGTTATTGTTCAATTACGTCGTAGAGTGCTCCCTTGCAGAATCTCACGATGTAGGCGTTGAAAAGGATAGCTGATCTTGATTATGCAGACGATATCGTCTTGCTTTTCGACGACGTTGCGGCGGCACAATCAACCCTGAATAGCCTGTCCAGAGTGGCCCCGTTATTTGGTATGCGGTTCGCACCTTCAAAGGGCAAAGTGTTGCTGCAGGACCATCAGCCAATTTATGATCCATTGACGGCTTTTTTGAATCAGCTTTATGTTTGGCGACAGAAAGGAGTTTTCCTCCGTCTGAAAAACCGTGTGTACAAGGCCACAGTGAGGGCTGTCCTGCTCTATGGTAGTGAAACTTGGCCCCTTCGGTCTGCAAATCTGAGGCGCCTTCAAGTCTTTGATCATCGTCGTCTGCGGAGCACTGCTGGTATCGGATGGCACCAGCGTGTCCGCA